TTAGTTTGATCAAACACGTGTGCCTATTTTTTTAAATCTATTGTACTGTTGTTAGAAATGTGCACTTGGATTCTATCTCAATATTGGGATAGGTATTTCCTTTCTTAAAAGTTTATTTACTGCCATCAACTGTAGAGTAAATGGCTGGTGGTTTCACTTTTTGGAATAGTCCTCCTCTGGAAGCATGATGCAGAAGCATTGTGGGCTGCTATGGGTTCTATTTTGAATGCTGGGCTCTCGAATGTATTGAAGCAGATACTAAACCAAGAGCGACCTGTTTCTACAATGAGATCAGACCCAGGAATGCCATCTTCGCATGCACAATCCATCTTCTATTTTGTCACCTTCGCTATTCTGTCAAGTAACTGTCTCCCACCACTGTATATTGAGCTCATTAATTGATATCCAATTTGTTTATCTTCTATAGTTCTCTGACTACAATCCTGTTCTAATGGCACTCACTTTTTCCCAGAATTAATGATGTCCACTTTTCCAAATAATTTATTTTATTTCCCATCTAGACAGTTGTCTTGGGAAATGAAATATGATAGTGCAATTGTTAACTAATGAATTCTAGTGTTTTAATTCTGACGGTTTCTTTATGTAAATTTTATTTTTGTTTTGGGGGCCGGGGACCACAGTTTAGCTTGCAATTGCATATTGCCATCCATCATCTGAACAACAGGAATCAGACTTGTTAGAGTTAAGATGCTGAGAGGTTTTTCTTAAGTTCCACACTCTTGCAAATCCATTAATCATGTAGCAAAGCAGTAAAGTACTTCTAAACTAGATTGTTAGTGGCATTATATGCCCAAGAACTGTGATATGAGGGACAAGCCGGGTTAGTTTTTATGGACTAGTGGCAAACTTAAATGTCCTATGTGATGAAATTATTTCACTTGTAAGTGATATAGCATTTGAATAAAGTCCAGTCTGTCACAGTGACATCTGAAATTGTTTCCTTGCTGCATATGAATAGTTGCATTTTCTTGATTTCATAATAGCATGCATGGTGATGTTGTGATTAGTACTTATTTCTTAAAAATTTGTAACAAGTAAATTCTTGAAGATTGTGCATTTAGGAATTGACATAAATATGAACGCCAATCACGCTGTTTATCCTTATTTATTTGGAAAGGCAGAGAGGGAGGGATTTAATTTCTGCTTCTTGTAGACAATTCTTCTTTTGTAATATCTGCATTATTTTTGTTATTAAATATGAATGCTGTGGTTATGAAACCTCTTATTTTTGATTTATAATGGCCCTTTCTGTTGCTGCTGTCACAGTAATGGAATGGCTTGGTATGAATGTACTTTCAACTACTCTCAGTGGGTTTGTCTTGGTGCTTGGTTCATATTTTGTAAGTATACAGCATGACTCTTTCAAGTAAATTGAATCCACCATGATATTCTTGTAGCATCATAATTCTTTTTAGTGGTGATATTGTGGAAAATTATTTATTTATTTTGGCTATTCAAAGCACTGTTAAACCACCAAGAAATAGTTGAGCTATTGAGTTAGAATGAAACAACTCTGTGACCAATTTAGGTTCACTTGAAAATTTTGTTTTGAAAAAGATTAGAGGCAACTCTTATGCTTCCTGAACATATAAGCCATGCGACTTTTTTATTTGTCCATTCAAGTGTGACCTATTCATCCATTAAAGGCTATCATTACCTAGTGCTGTCACTTGCACAGGTTGCTGGGAAGGGTAAATTGGAGACACTCTAACTTAGATAAATTTGGAAAAAGTGGTTGCTCTCTTATTTGAATCAGCATCCTCACATTACCTTTTTTTTGTCTTTGTCAAAATTTTGAGATAGTCATTGTTGAACATAACCTAATTGCGAATATTTCATGAACTTTGTAAAGTGATATCTCAATCATTCCTGCAATCACCTGATCAGAAGTCCCTAATGACGAACATGTACCTGTGTAGGTTCTATTATCATGGCACGACAAGAATCTTTATCTCAACGTGTAGCAGAACTTAACAAGCCTACTGCAAAGTTGTGCAAAACTAAATCTAAATTTTACCACCCTTATTCAGAGTGATTGTATGTTATTAAGAGCTAATATAATTTGTTGCAAATAAGCGACTCCTAATCAGTTTTTGAGACAGTTAGGAAATCAATAGGGCCATCACCTTCTCTCTCATTTTAAGGTCCTTTATTAATTACAATCACAAGCTTTGATATATTTTGCTATTTGATTCTTGTGATGTATCAAAAGGGGTGTATCTAATTTTATCACTTCCAAGGAAGTAGAAAGGACAATATTTTCCAGCATATAGTGTTCCTTAATAATTTATGATAAAGTGATATGTGTGTGCTCGTAAGATGTGCTTCCCTGCAAATAATGATTTCAATTGGTTGATGTCCATTGTCCACTAGAGAAGACTTGTTAATAGGATTATGGGCTGTGTAACTTTGCAGCTTAGTAAAATGCCTTAAAACTGACGTAATAGATTTTAGCATGAAAAAACATACACAATGGAATGCCCACTGACTTCTGTGTGCCTGTGTTTGCAGTCATGGCTACGGATTTATCAACAACTTCACACAATCAGCCAAGTGATCGTGGGTGCTGTGTTGGGATCTGTTTTCGCATTTTTGTGGTTTTGGTCATGGGATGCAATAGTTCTGAAGGCATTTATCTCCTATTTGTGGGTTCGGATTGTCATCATTCTTGGGGCTGTTGCATTTTGTCTGGGGTTTCTTGCACATGTCATTCGGTATTGGATTAGGGATGAACAATGAACTTGGTAAATTTTTTGTTATACTATCTACAGGTTCCTAGTTTATCTGGAAAATCAGAAACAGATGAAATTACTATGAAGTTGACATATAAACTTTTCATCTTTTTCCTGTTCACAATTCATCTGCCAGATTATATTCTGAACTGAAAAACTCTCCGAGGGTGTGCAGCCTCCCATGGTGGTCATATTACAATTTACAGTCTCGTTATGGTTCAGGAGAGGGGTCACTGCCATTCTTGCTCTGGTTTTCCTTTCCATATGTTCATTAATATTATTAGTTTGCAGTAAAAAAGTGGAGCATAGACATATTCAGGTGTTCATTCCAGGCTGGTGATAACGGCGAAGCTGATAAGGAACCATCTAAACTGGGGCAAGCAGACCATACCATACCATCTCTGAACTGATCTTCAAGTGCTAGTTTTTGAAGAAGTTATTAACAATCATATTATGGGAGAGCTAAAAGAACAGAGCTTACCCACAAAAAAAACCACAGTAAAACGTTCTATGTGAACTCCAGGATGCGTCCATCTTTGTCGTCCGTCATTCGTACTGTCTTACCACTTTTAACTATATTTTACACGGCCTGAAATTCTCAATATTACAATTTTTCTCAATTTTACTCAATAGTACATTAACTGCCATTACTAAAAGTGAGACCCACTATTCGTAAATGAGCCCCTTCTCTCATGTACGGTGGGTGATCTTGAAAATGTAAGAGGGTGAACAATCTTGAAAGTGTAATAGAGGATATGAATCCAATTACACAATCATTACTTTATTACAATCAAATCAATGAGTCTGGCAATATTTCAATGATAATCAAGGTGACATGACGTAAGAACGTCTTCAAAAAAGTTGGTGGAGTTGCATGAATGTAAAATGACACAACACAATTCAACTGCTGTTCTTACCTAAATTAGAGGTATATGTATCAAGATGCACCCTTGATCATTTACTTGCTCATCATATGTCTCACCCACGGGAGTGACTTCTTTGCCATTGAGGTAAGCTCGTCTTCCCGACCTTAATTGAACTTCGCTCCTATGCCATTTAACTTCCATTCACAGACAATGTCAAAAATATCGCCCTTGCGTATAAGCCAACTCCTCTCCATTCAATCCCGGCTGGACTGATCCTTCTTTCCAAGTTCTACTTCACTTTCGAAAAGAGAGATTTGACTCTGATCCACTATCAAAAGGAATTGCCTTACTTTCCGCTCGCTCTTATTTTCATTGATATGCCCGAAAACAAGAAATTTCTTTCTCTCATGCCCTTTACCTTAAACCTGACAAAAGATAGCATGTTTCACTTGCCCTACCACTTTCATTAGCAGTAAAGACGAGAAACTTCATCAACTTAAAAGATGAAAGATAAATCAAGAGCCCAGCTGTTCACAAATCCCCCGACACGTCGAATAAAACACATTTTTTGGACATCAAATTCTGATACTAACTTGTATGACGTGCTCTTAGATCCCAAATTAGAAAGACGCTGACCGAATAGTAAGAGATGCCGCTAGTAAAGATCATATGGCCGTTTAATTGAGTGTAAGTTGAATAAGTTATGACCCTCTTTAGATCGTTATATATCTTCATTATGTAGGTGACATGTCTCGTGGCCAAAACTCAAATGAAATCTGAAAAGCCTCGTGGAAGATACCCTTCATTTATTATATATGCCACGAAGTTGCCACAGTTTTGTTGTTTATCCGGACATGTTGCTATTGTTGATGCTTTCATTCACTTGTTACGCAACGCCATGATTCTCATGTTCCCCATTATTACATATATGTAACTTAAGAGTATTTCTACCTCGAACAAATCATCAATAAGTACCAATTCAATATTAAATNCATGTTCCCCATTATTACATATATGTAACTTAAGAGTATTTCTACCTCGAACAAATCATCAATAAGTACCAATTCAATATTAAATGATTCAGCGTTTTCTATGCCACGCAATGGCTAGGTTCTCATGTTCTCTTGTTGACTTCTCACTCATTGTATCATAAAATTGTTAAGGTAGGGAGCCTGCCTAATGAGAGGAACGAAAAATCCCAAGTTTGAGGAAACCACGTAAATTTCTGTGTTGATTTCGATTCTACCTCTTTTTTTTTTTTTTTGTGCATCTTCTTAATTTTTGTGTGTGTGATTGCTACCTGTTAGATCCCCAACAAGTATAACTGTAGTTTGTATCTTCAAAAACTCCATTTCATTTGTTTGGGAGAATGTCAGCATCAATGGCCATTCTTAACAAACCTGCCACTATAATCACTTTGTTTCCTCAACTCAAACCTCGGAAACACATCAAATTTCCCACCTCAAAATTGGTTTTCACAGAAGAACTTGTTTCCCACAAAACTGTTTCCTGCAATGGCACAGCTTGGAGCCTAAATGCTGTGACTAGATCAACTAAGGGTAAAGCTTTAGCCTTCAATGACAATGCTGGTGATGAAGGAGTTAAAGATCTTGAGCAAGAAGGCTTCATTAGTGAGTTTTCTCAGTTTCACCCAGAATGTATAGTAGCTAATGGACTCGAATCCACTCTCAATCGCCTGGTAAATATTAGTTCCTTTTCGATGATTATCATTGTTTGTATTGATAATATGTAGAGGTGATATTGANGTATAGTAGCTAATGGACTCGAATCCACTCTCAATCGCCTGGTAAATATAAGTTCCTTTTCGATGATTATCATTGTTTGTATTGATAATATGTAGAGGTGATATTGAATTCCTGAAACTTCTCTCATTTGTCTTTCAACTCAATTAGTCTTATAGTTTCTTGGAATTCAGATACAGTGAAATTATGTTTCCTCTGATTAAGAGGGCTTTATTGCAATTAACTGCAGAGTATGGGGATTGTAGCTGTATGTTTCAGTGCAATCCTTCTGTGGAGGCATGATGCTGAAGCATTGTGGGCTACTGTGGGTTTTGGTTTAAATCTTGGGCTCTCCACCATGCTGAAGGAGATACTAAACCAAGCGCGACCTGTTTCTGCCACGAGATATGACCCTGGAATGCCATCGACACATGCTCAATCCATATTCTTCGTCATCATGTTCACTGTTCTGTCAAGTAACTCTCTTCCACTCACTACTCTATGTTTGAAACACATACTTTGAGAGATGATTTATAGATGATATTTATATAACTTTTCAACAATCAAATGTGGTTCCTTGACAGTGTCGGGGACTTGCCAAAATCAATTTTCTTAAGCTGGTGTTTAATTCAGATGTTACAAGCAGTTGTTTCATAGTAATTATCTTGATATGCGGAAATGAGTCCAGCTTATTTCTGTGGAATCGGCAAAATGATCAGTGTTTCTGTATATTTAGATAACAATTGTGATTTCCGGGCAATGGTTGAAGACGTTTCATTTGTATGATGTTATGTAAGGTGAAGTGGTACCGCATTTGTCTTTGTGAATGGTAATGAACTTTTTTACTTTGTCCTTTCTCCTTTCTCCTTTCTTTTCTCAGAATTTTTAGATTTTTGGCTAAGGGTTCTTAATAGCAACTTAATTAAAGAACATTACGCCCTTACTGAGTGTGAAGCCAAACCAAGTGATGTCAATCCATAGAATGAGTAGAATATTTTTTAGTTGATTCTCAGGGACGAGAGTGTGAGAGTAAAGTTTATGGTTGCAATGTAGACTGTCATATACTGTCACTGAATCTCAATCTAGTGTTATACACATTTTCGAGCTTTTGATTTGTAATATCTCTTTCTCTAATTGCTGTCACAGTGGTGGAATTGCTTGGAGTGAATGGACTTGCAATAACTTTTAGTGGTGCTGTCTTGGCATTTGGTTCATATCTTGTAAGTATCCAAAGATCCAAAGTAGAATATTGTTTATGTATATTGAGTACATAATTATCTATATGCTTGTGAGAAAAAAAAAAANACGTCTTCAAAAAAGTTGGTGGAGTTGCATGAATGTAAAATGACACAACACAATTCAACTGCTGTTCTTACCTAAATTAGAGGTATATGTATCAAGATGCACCCTTGATCATTTACTTGCTCATCATATGTCTCACCCACGGGAGTGACTTCTTTGCCATTGAGGTAAGCTCGTCTTCCCGACCTTAATTGAACTTCGCTCCTATGCCATTTAACTTCCATTCACAGACAATGTCAAAAATATCGCCCTTGCGTATAAGCCAACTCCTCTCCATTCAATCCCGGCTGGACTGATCCTTCTTTCCAAGTTCTACTTCACTTTCGAAAAGAGAGATTTGACTCTGATCCACTATCAAAAGGAATTGCCTTACTTTCCGCTCGCTCTTATTTTCATTGATATGCCCGAAAACAAGAAATTTCTTTCTCTCATGCCCTTTACCTTAAACCTGACAAAAGATAGCATGTTTCACTTGCCCTACCACTTTCATTAGCAGTAAAGACGAGAAACTTCATCAACTTAAAAGATGAAAGATAAATCAAGAGCCCAGCTGTTCACAAATCCCCCGACACGTCGAATAAAACACATTTTTTGGACATCAAATTCTGATACTAACTTGTATGACGTGCTCTTAGATCCCAAATTAGAAAGACGCTGACCGAATAGTAAGAGATGCCGCTAGTAAAGATCATATGGCCATTTAATTGAGTGTAAGTTGAATAAGTTATGACCCTCTTTAGATCGTTATATATCTTCATTATGTAGGTGACATGTCTCGTGGCCAAAACTCAAATGAAATCTGAAAAGCCTCGTGGAAGATACCCTTCATTTATTATATATGCCACGAAGTTGCCACAGTTTTGTTGTTTATCCGGACATGTTGCTATTGTTGATGCTTTCATTCACTTGTTACGCAACGCCATGATTCTCATGTTCCCCATTATTACATATATGTAACTTAAGAGTATTTCTACCTCGAACAAATCATCAATAAGTACCAATTCAATATTAAATGATTCAGCGTTTTCTATGCCACGCAATGGCTAGGTTCTCATGTTCTCTTGTTGACTTCTCACTCATTGTATCATAAAATTGTTAAGGTAGGGAGCCTGCCTAATGAGAGGAACGAAAAATCCCAAGTTTGAGGAAACCACGTAAATTTCTGTGTTGATTTCGATTCTACCTCTTTTTTTTTTTTTTTGTGCATCTTCTTAATTTTTGTGTGTGTGATTGCTACCTGTTAGATCCCCAACAAGTATAACTGTAGTTTGTATCTTCATAAACTCCATTTCATTTGTTTGGGAGAATGTCAGCATCAATGGCCATTCTTAACAAACCTGCCACTATAATCACTTTGTTTCCTCAACTCAAACCTCGGAAACACATCAAATTTCCCACCTCAAAATTGGTTTTCACAGAAGAACTTGTTTCCCACAAAACTGTTTCCTGCAATGGCACAGCTTGGAGCCTAAATGCTGTGACTAGATCAACCAAGGGTAAAGCTTTAGCCTTCAATGACAATGCTGGTGATGAAGGAGTTAAAGATCTTGAGCAAGAAGGCTTCATTAGTGAGTTTTCTCAGTTTCACCCAGAATGTATAGTAGCTAATGGACTCGAATCCACTCTCAATCGCCTGGTAAATATAAGTTCCTTTTCGATGATTATCATTGTTTGTATTGATAATATGTAGAGGTGATATTGAATTCCTGAAACTTCTCTCATTTGTCTTTCAACTCAATTAGTCTTATAGTTTCTTGGAATTCAGATACAGTGAAATTATGTTTCCTCTGATTAAGAGGGCTTTATTGCAATTAACTGCAGAGTATGGGGATTGTAGCTGTATGTTTCAGTGCAATCCTTCTGTGGAGGCATGATGCTGAAGCATTGTGGGCTACTGTGGGTTTTGGTTTAAATCTTGGGCTCTCCACCATGCTGAAGGAGATACTAAACCAAGCGCGACCTGTTTCTGCCACGAGATATGACCCTGGAATGCCATCGACACATGCTCAATCCATATTCTTCGTCATCATGTTCACTGTTCTGTCAAGTAACTCTCTTCCACTCACTACTCTATGTTTGAAACACATACTTTGAGAGATGATTTATAGATGATATTTATATAACTTTTCAACAATCAAATGTGGTTCCTTGACAGTGTCGGGGACTTGCCAAAATCAATTTTCTTAAGCTGGTGTTTAATTCAGATGTTACAAGCAGTTGTTTCATAGTAATTATCTTGATATGCGGAAATGAGTCCAGCTTATTTCTGTGGAATCGGCAAAATGATCAGTGTTTCTGTATATTTAGATAACAATTGTGATTTCCGGGCAATGGTTGAAGACGTTTCATTTGTATGATGTTATGTAAGGTGAAGTGGTACCGCATTTGTCTTTGTGAATGGTAATGAACTTTTTTACTTTGTCCTTTCTCCTTTCTCCTTTCTTTTCTCAGAATTTTTAGATTTTTGGCTAAGGGTTCTTAATAGCAACTTAATTAAAGAACATTACGCCCTTACTGAGTGTGAAGCCAAACCAAGTGATGTCAATCCATAGAATGAGTAGAATATTTTTTAGTTGATTCTCAGGGATGAGAGTGTGAGAGTAAAGTTTATGGTTGCAATGTAGACTGTCATATACTGTCACTGAATCTCAATCTAGTGTTATACACATTTTCGAGCTTTTGATTTGTAATATCTCTTTCTCTAATTGCTGTCACAGTGGTGGAATTGCTTGGAGTGAATGGACTTGCAATAACTTTTAGTGGTGCTGTCTTGGCATTTGGTTCATATCTTGTAAGTATCCAAAGATCCAAAGTAGAATATTGTTTATGTATATTGAGTACATAATTATCTATATGCTTGTGAGAAAAAAAAAAAGATTATAAGGAAATCTATGCTGCATAAGCTTGCAGTTCAGATACAGATGCACTGTTCAAGTAAGTGAAATTCCATAAGCTGAAAATGGATGTCAAAATCAAAATAAAACAAGAAAAGTTTAAGGTTGTTTGTATTTGCAGTCATGGCTAAGGGTTTCACAACAATTTCACACGATAGGCCAGGTGGTTGTGGGTGCTATGGTGGGATCCATTTTCTCCTTTCTGTGGATTTTGTTGTGGGATGCAACTGTGCTGGAGGCAAGTATCTCAATAGGGGGCATTCATGTTACCGTTGTTTTGGTGGTCGCCAGAATTTGCCTGGACTTTCTTTTATGCAATGTTCTGTTTTCTGTTGTAGATGAACGGTGGACTTCTTGAGTACAAAGTTAAGAATATAAGTTGGCATGCAAGTCGTTGGATTCTATACCCCCAGTCTGTCTGGAAGATCAGTAACAGAAAACCGTTAAAAAGATAAAATTTTCACTTCTTTTCCTCATTACTGTTGATCTGCCACACTGCTTCATGAAGCAAAAGGTTACGATGGAGGTGCATCAAGTGAAAAAGAGCTAGATCATTTCAAAACTCAGAGATCTGTTCTGTTTCTTATTCTATTACATTTGAGCATATTTTTGTCCACAGGTACAAAAATTTACAACAGCAGAGATTCGACTACATTTTTCTCCTTATGTACTGATAGTTATATACAATAGAGCCAGCTTAAATGATAGTGGAAACACAAAAAGAGTTCAAATACCAAAATTAACAATACTGTGTGCGATAAGAACTATCAATTGGTACTATTAAATGTTAACCACAGAAATGCAGCAAAAAAGTACAATTACAGGTTTACGGATTTCCTATTGTAATGAACAGGTTCACAGAAATGTTCATTATTACTGTTCTTGTTCATCAGATGTATCAACTCCTCAATCACAGGACTTTGCGATAATGTCAGAAAATTTACAACAGTTTACACTCAAACATTGAATCAAAAGACCTTAAGTATCTCCTATGGATACATTGTGTTAATCTCAGCCTTCAAAGAACAAATAAAACCAGCTATAACTTTTTTCATCAATTCAACCAATCTCAGAAGGAGGCTGCCTCACCACTATCTTAACAGTCTTCTTGAATTCGAAGTCAGCTGGGCAACTTATTCCCATTCCACCATAAGGATTCCCAAACCTTCTCCAATAGCAACTCCAACAAATCCAGGGACTTCCAGTTTTCATTACAAATTTATTCATCAATGTGTTGGGTGCGGAGTTCACTCAAATATTCTACGCGAAGAACTCCACTGCTTCTCTCTATTCTCTGCTAGGACCCTATGTTTAATATGACAAAATGACTGCATGAGTATTTGGACTTGACCAGAACATCAACATCAAAGAATCTATTACTCATCAAACCTAATAAAAGAGTCCAAGATTCCCCTTTCAATTACAGCAGTCCTGGTGCCAGAAGTTAAAACATGAATTTCCCAGGACCCTCCTGTGATGCATGGATTCTCTTGGCTTAAAAACTGGAGTGGATGAAAACATAGTTCCTGGACTTAAAACAATGGACCTCAATTTGGCTTGGCTCTGAAGAAATACACATCTTAACAAGGGAAAAATCCTTTATCTGTGGTACTGATGCATCATTTAGTATCAGAATGGGTCTTCTGAAGATCAGCCTAAAAACTTAAGAGAGTTAAGACAAAGGAAAACATGTCACCTCATGCAATCTTGTGAATTCTTTTGAGGAGGAGATTTCCATGCTTTGGCCATGTCTAATCAAAGCAGTCCTAACCAGCAAATAATAGAGTCTACAAAGCCTGATGATTTAATGGTTTGTGGTTCTCCAATTACACCATTAGAGGATAATATCCATAGGAAATATGATAATGAAGCATGGCCTGACATTTTGCTACTATCCGACATCATAAAGGATAGAACCTGCTTCCTGAACATCGAGTTCTCCCCTTGAAGCTAATAACTCCAAAACGTTGTATATCTCATCACACTGTGGGTGCAATTGATCCCCAGCTACAAATGAAGAAACCCAATCTTTGACCTTAATCCAAGACCATCCAGGCTCCTTTATCACACCCTTTGATTTCATTAGCTTCCTTACATCCGCTGCTTCCCTCCATTTCCCTTTTGCAGCATAAATGTTAGCAAGGGTAATGTGGGTCCCTGCACAATTTGGATCCAACTTAAGAATCTGATCTGCAGTACGTCTTCCACAATCAACAGCACCATGTACCCTACAGGCCCTTAGAAGTGTTGACCAAACAACATCATCCCGTTCAAAGGGCATACTTTTGATCATGTGCTCTGCATCTGTTAATCGTCCAGCTCGACAGAGGAGATCAATCATGCAACCATAATGTTGCTTAGAAGGATTAATCCTATATTCCTTACTCATCAAATTGAAATAGTGAAAACCCAGATCAACATGTCCAGCATGGCTACAAGCACTAAGAACACCAATGAAAGTCACAGAGTCTGGTCTCAATCCAACCTCAGGAATCTTCTCAAACAAATCAATAGCTTCGTGGCTGTATCCATGTTCAGCATATCCATTAATCATGGCTGTCCATGAGACAATGTCATCATTCTTTGCCACGTCAAATATCATTGCACCTTCTCCTATGCTCCCACATTTTGAATACATATTGATGAGAGAACTTTGTACCATAGCTGTATGTTCTAAGCCAATGGTTAGGACGTGAGCGTGTAGTTTCTTCCCTTGATCGAGCATTGCCATAGTCCCACATACACTCAGCACACTANGGAACTTTGTACCATAGCTGTATGTTCTAAGCCAATGGTTAGGACGTGAGCATGTAGTTTCTTCCCTTGATCGAGCATTGCCATAGTCCCACATACACTCAGCACACTAGCAAGAGCAAACTCAGTTGGTTTTGGCCCGTCCCTTCTCAGCCAATATAGAAAGTCTAAGGCTTCCTCACCACAACCACCTTGAGCATACCCTGCAATAATGGTGCTCCAAGAAACTATGTCTCTTCTGGTCATTGCATGAAATACCATTGACGCCGAGTTTAACTGCCCGCATTTTGAATACAGAGTCATAAGGGAATTTGCAACAGACAGAGAATCCAATAAACCTACATGTAAAACGTGTGCGTGTAGTTGTCCACCCAAAGCAATCAACGCAATACTTGCACAACCAGAGATGACCGTCGCAAATGTGTACTCATTAGGACTCACGTCAGATTCTCGCATCTGAAAGAATGCTTGAATGGCATTCTCGTCTTGACCCATTTGAACATAAGTAGTAATTATAGTCGTCCACGAAACCACGTCTGGTGTCCTCATTTTTCCAAACAAACACAAGCCATAATCTAATTTCCCACACTTGTTGTACATAGTAGCAAGACTATTGGCCACATATGAGCACTCATCAAAGCTTTTCTTTACTGTTTGGGCGTGAATTTCCCTCCCATAACTCAAAACACCCATGTCAGCACAAGCCTTTAGTGCAATAGCGAATGTATATGAATCATACGCCACACCTGTTCTCCCCATTTTAGAAAAATAAAGCAATCCCTCCTTATTGTAACCGCCACGAACAAGCCCAGTTATGATGGCAGTCCACGAAACCACATTCCTCATCGGCATCTCATCAAAGACTCTACAACCCACCCAGACTTTACCCGTTTTCGTATACATGTCCAGAAGTGCACTCCCCACAAAAACAGAGTTCACCAAGCCGGTTTTTTCAGAATACCCATGCAGTAATTCTCCGCAGTTCACATTCATATTTAATGCACACGCCTTGAATGCAAGGCTAAGTATGAAGGGGTCAACTCGCAAAGTAGGATCCACACACACATTAAAAAACAAAGATAATGCTTCTGATGAATCAGAGGCACTGACATATCCAGAAATCATGGTGGTCCATGAGATTTCATCCCTGTGAGGCAATTTATCAAACATGTGACGAGCGTCACTCAAATGGCCCATTTTCAGCAACTCTTTGAGTTGAGAGTTAACTTCAAACATGTTCGGTTGCGAGACATTTTGGATTTCTTCAAATAACTGATATTTGCCTACCTCCAGATCCAGAACGTCTCTGGATTCAGCACACGCAATGACTGCTGATGTTGTATAGAATCTCCTGAAAAATGGTCTAACCGACAACACCATGTTTTTGTAAGTTTAGAAGCCATGCACAGTTATGAACATAGGTGAATGAAACGGTGAAAAGACCAAAAATGTTTGTCACCACATCAAAGCAGCCCAAGATATGTTCGTTGTCAGAGAACTGCGGCCCACAAGCCCACAACTTACTGGCCCAATACGGAGAGAGAATCCAGGCTGCTCAACAAAAAGGGTAGGCCGATTCGGAGACAGAATCCGCGCCGGTAACCAACGAAGACAAGGACGAGCTTAGACTCTGAAACTTGACAACGATAACTTGGATCAAGCCGTGAAAATTCTTTTCCTGATGAATTTTTTAATCTCAGCATAGATAATCAATTCGGTCAAATAAATAACAGCATGTGATGTACCACAAATCTAAAATTCAAATTTGTATCTTAAATAAAGGGATCATTGGATCAATGAATCTTATTTAAAAAAATTGATGAGACTCAATCATCTAATGGACCCCTTTAATTTAAGATGCAAATTCGAATTACAAATTTGAGTTATATAATATTATCTAATAAATAATATATTTTAATTGCCAGCTCCTAGTGTATTGGCAATGTAAAACTCAAAAAAAAATTATTATTATTATTATTAAAAATCTTAATTAAATGGGTAAAATAATAATTATTTGTTAAAGTATAGGTCAAAAAGATAAATTTTTAAAATAATAAATTTAATCTATAGATATATATAAGTGAAAGACTTTTTAAAGTCTTTCACTTTCTTCTCCAACCAACGATACAGAGAGAGTGAGAGAAAAGTGAGTTTTTATTTATTTATTTATTTTTTCTTCCTTCTCAGATCTACGAAAATTTAACAGTTTAATCGTTTCAGGCCAAGAATTAAAGTTGCTATACTCAGCGAAAGCTATGCAATTACACTAAATATCGTATTTTTCTCCGAAAGAATATCAAAGACAATAATTTAGGCCTAAGGCTTAGGAAGCTAAATTTTGGCTTCTTTGGAGTTTTAGTAAGTGGACTCACGCTACGAGAGGTAGAGTTTCCCCTATTTAGATTTAATTTCAACTTAAAATATGACATATGAAATGGGTGGGCTATAGATGTATATCACATGTTAGGTTTTAACTAGTGTAACTAGTGGGTCAAATATATGATTTATAATTAACCTTGTGATTAATAAAATCCTATTACGATTAACTTGGTATATCAAGTTTAATGTATATTAGTATTATTTTAGCTTGTTATGTGATATTAGTATATTAGTATTAGTATATTAATGTATATTAGTATATTAGTATTATTTTATGTTTTAATGGCATATCAAATTTAATAAAATTATTAGCTTGTTATGTGATTATGAAATAATATATATGTTAAAAGATTATTTAACATATGATTATTTTGGTGGACTTGTGCTTATGTTTATATAATTAACAAACATGTTGTCATGTTGAAAGTTATAACATGCTAGTTGTGTAAATTGATGTGCTATTTAAGTGTTTGATTAAATGTCTAGGTGAATACAAGTATGTTAGTTGAGTTGATTATCTTACATAACATGCTTGAGATCGTGTTAAAATGTCATTATAATGTATTTATTATGTAATGGACATTGTATTACATTATGCATGAGTTGCACTACATTAATGGGCATTGACATGGGTGGGAGTGTATGCATGGTATGAAATCAATCACCACATAGGTGGTTGATCGTGGGCTCAAAAAAGTCACACCAAGGTTCAGCTGAGTCGCATGAAAAATTAAATGGATAAATGTGTTGGGGACAGCAAGAAGGGCTAAATTCTCCCTCAGGTGCAAGACCCGCTTACTTGGTTTATACACTTTTCGGCGGTGAAATTCCATAAAAGTGTAACGGCGAAAACGGAGCCGCAGGTGGGATGTCCTGAAGATCCGTTGATAATTGGTGTCCCATTGGTGTAATACCATAAATCACCTCCCCACAAAGACACAAGAAAATGAATTAATTAGTCATTAAGTGTACATAACACCAATGATGGGGGCTTAGAATGTCCGGATACATACGCATGACATTGTATGTGTTATGGGAGCTCAGGATGGGGCTCGGGGTTAGTATTTCTTGCGTGAGTCTCATCTCATGGTATGACATGATTTATGACATTTAATCGTAATAGACATATTTGAATGAATGCATCAAATAATTGTTGCATGTGACATTCCATATGCATTTAGGTTGAGAGGTATTCTCTATAGGAGTTACCCTATTGAGCGTTGGCTCACCCTTTATGGGAACATTTTTCAGGTATCGCATAGGCGTCCACTGAAGGCGAGGCCATGGGCCCGCTTTGACGACAGAGCTGGTATGTGGCTCTTATTTTGACATTGTAGTCCCTTGTTTATATTTACTTTTGGCCTTGTGTAATTTTTGTAACAAAAACTTATTTATATTTATAAAGGCATGTATATGAGACTCTTTTGGGACATTTATTCTTTTACGAATAAATGTATGTACTAATGATGATTATGGTAGTATTCGATACTATACAATTGTGAATGGATAGATAGACCCAGTGTGGTCAATATTATACAGGTTGCGTTTTAGATAGAGCTCTTTGTACAAAGGAGACTCTGCCCAAATTTTGTTAAGTTATGGATCCCGAGAAATGGGACATAACGGTGTGATATCGAATTACACGGTATTCACAAGTATTCCGCGGGTCGATGGGTGATTAATCAGATAATTACAGCCACCCGAATTTTGGGGTGTCACAGCTTGGTATCAGAGTTTAGGTTCACGATTTACCTAGGGCTTACGAGGCATGGGTTTAAGTCATTGCATCCAGTTTGCATTGCATGTTAAATGTATTAAATCTTTCATGCTATGTGTTATGAGATTATATACATGATTAAATGTATATAGGAATGAGGCACTACGGTTAGAAAACATAACTTTAGAGTTGGGAAGGAAAAGGATGTGTAAGCCTATTGTTTGCGCTATTATCTGTAGGTATATATTTTAGTGTTTTAACCTTGATCCCTAACTTTGGGATACTAAGTTATTGGTCTGTTGCTATCTTATGTGTGTGTAGATGGCAACAGGAGAAAGGAGACGTCGAGGTGGACGAAACAACCAACCACCACCACCGGCTTTTGATCAACAAGCCTTTATGGAGGCTATGGGCGCGATGACCGCCCACCTTTTTGCAAGCCAGTTCTAATGTGGGCCTAGGAGGCTCGAACAACCTCCAGAAGTTTAGGTCCCACAACCCACCAACTTTTGTAGGAGGAGGGGATCCGATGGTAGCTGACAATTGGTTCCAACAGGTGGACAAAATTTTAGAGGCAATGAAGATTGCATCTGACGCCACAAAGATACGATTGGCTACTTTCCAGTTTGAGGAAAAAGTCCATCAATGGTGGACATGGGCAAAGCCGATAGACATCGGAAGGATGATATGAGGAGAGTTTCAAGAGCTCTTCATGAAGAAATATTTTTCACTAGCTGTTCAGGAAGTCAAAGCTCACGAATTTCTAAACTTGAAGCAAGGAGTGATGACGGTTATGCAATACGTGGCCAAGTTCACAGAATTGACACGTTTTGTGGATGACTACGTGGCCACTGATTGGGCCAAGGTGCGGAGGTTTGAAAATGGCCTAAAGTTATCCATCCGTGGGAAGATTGTTGGCCACAGGTTGCACAATTTTGACGAGATGGTCGAAACAGCCATAGCTATAGAGAGAGAGGTGGAAGATGCCAAGAGTATTCGGGAGGCTGGATCAAAGGACTGGAAGAAGGAGGGACAGTCCTCCACTACTAGCTCGGGGAAAAGACAAAGGATTTCTACTCCACAAGGATCACAGGGACAGGGCCGAGACTATCAAGGCCATGGTCAATCTTCCTAAGGCGGGGGGAATTCTAGGGGTACACAACAGGGAGGCCCATAGACATGCTACTATTGCCACTAGCCAGGCCACTTGAAGAGAGAGTGTCCTCAGAGGCAGGGATCACAGAGCTACGGGGCATCTCAGTCCCAGTCTTCAGTGGGGGTATCCACAGACCTACTTCATTCCTCCCTACCCCACCAGGGGACAGGAAAATCAGTTGCAGTTTCAGGGTACGACACAGGCCCCTACCACTTCACGAGCAGGGACTCCGCAGTCAGGCCAGGGCATGGGCCAAGGCCGGGAACAGGGCTTTCAGGCCGGGACTTCAAGGACCCAGGGGCGAGTCTTCGCCATCACACCACAGNTAGTCAGGCCAGGGCATGGGCCAAGGCCGGGACTTCAAGGACCCAGGGGCGAGTCTTCGCCATCACACCACAGACTTTATCGACAGATCAGTCGGTAATTCAGGGTACATTTCTTCTCTCTAGATTATGGACAAAAATATTATTGATTCTGGTGCATCATATTTTTTTATTGCTACATCATGTCTACGAGACTTGGGTATAGAGGCCGAGACTCTGGATGAACCCATGTATGTGAGTTCTCCCCTAGAAGATAGAGTTTGTATTGATAAGATATATCGGGGTTGTGAATTAGAGATCGAAGGAACCCAGCTTACTGTTGACCTTAGGGTCATCGAGATGACGGAGTTCAATATCATACTCGGGATGGATTGGTTAGCGGTACATAAATTCGTCATTGATTGCGAGCACAAGAGGGTTACAGCTTACACTTCAGACGGGGTTTGTTTCAAGTTTCAGGGGGAGAAACACAATTTCTTACCTCATGCCGTATATGACTCCCGATGGCACGGACAATTGATAGGTTGGCTTGCTAGCCTTACATTGGAGGACGAGGAGAGACAGGAATTAGGTATGTCTCGAGTCGTGTGTGACTATGCGGATGTCTTCCTAGATGAGTTACCAAGGTTGCCACCGCATCGGGATGTAGATTTCACTATAGAGTTACAGCCTGATGTATCCCCTATTTCTATGACACCGCATAGGATGGCGCCAACGGAGTTGCAGGAACTTAAAGTCCAGTTACAAGAGTTATTGGACAGAGGCTTTATTAGGTCGAGTGCTTTACCTTGGGGTGCTCCGGTAC